GATTAAAATGGACATGATTTAAGAATCACGTTCATATTGAATGTTTCGGCAGCACACAATTCGTGTCAAGTGCCATTTGTCAACAACTGAATGGGTGTGTGGTTGACCCTTATTTGTGAGACCAGAGTTCATGTTGTATTTGCCTTTTGAAACCAGAAACATTGATCCCTCACTTACTTTAAACTCCTAATCATAACCCAGGGCTTTTCAGAAATGAATACAGGTTGCAGAGATGTAAATGTGTGCTTAATATAGAAATTGATATGGAGACTCATAGATTTGGATGTAAATACTGTTGTGTCTCACCACAGTACTCTCAAAAGGAGGACAAATATGAGGAAGAGATAAAGATCCTGACTGACAAGCTGAAAGAGGTGAGTTGTGTCACTCCTAATACATTTTTCAAGAATTAAAAATTGCTTTAAGGTCCAGTGTGTAAGATTTAGGTGAAAGGGATCTATTGGCAGAAATTTAATGTGGAATAATCCTCATGATGTTTTCACAAGTTCATTTAATCTAAATTGTATTAATTGTAGTTTTCTTTACCCTAGAAAAGGCCCTTTATATTTAAATACTTTATATTTACATCGAGGGGGTCCTCTGTGCAGAGGCCGCCATGTTTTTTACAATAGCCCAGACCGGACAAACTAAACACTTTTTGAGTTTTTATGACAACTGTAGGCCACCAAATGTTCTTTCATGTTTGGAAGGGGAGGGTGAGGTGAGGGGCGTTCAGCTGCAACATGCAAATTCACCTCTAGATATCACAAAATTCCACACACTGTACCTTTAAATGTTCATTCGAGTTTGGTCAGTTGCAAGTAAATGTGCAGGGTTATATACTTATATACTATTTACCCATTAAGTTACTCATTCAAGTTATTTGTTTGTGTTATGGGTGGATCAGGAATTGAACTGAGTAACATAACTTAGACCACAAATGGCAATATAATAAAAGTTTTAATGTGATGAAGTTGGTCATAGTTAAAGGTGACAGGCACTGGAGATCTCTGGTATCAGGGCGGGACTGGCCATCTGGCACACTTTTCCTGTTTTTTTTCATAATTGACACTGCCCAATCACATTTTTAAAGCCCCAACCATGAGTTTTTAACTGGTTATGAAACGGTCTTATTTTAATATTGCTGCCTCTTTATGACCTATAACAGCAGATGAGACAGTCACAGAGAAAATTAGATTGTCTATAAACTATTCTCAATTTTGGTGGTCGGGTTGAATTACCCGAAGTCAGAGCAACGATTATTGGCAGTGAGGCTAAAAAAGTATACGTTTAGTGAGAGGGAGAAGAAGTGGGGAAGCGAGCCAGGCTACACGCTTGGCTAAAGGCTAACCCATACAGATGAGCGCTCCCAAGTCTGTTCCTAGCAAACTCCAGGTCTTTTACAAACAAGATGGATGAGATCAGAATGAGAATTACGATACATAACCTCATCGCTTTTCATCCTGCAAACAGCTGTGTGTTGTACTAGGGTTTAATATTCCAGCCAATTTTAAGCGTATACATTAAGTGAGTTGGAATTGGTGGGATGTTCCATTTGGCCCCCAATTAGAGGGGGGATGGTTATGTTAAATCAGTTCTAATATTGTTATGTCTTTCCTATCAAATGGATTCATATGTATATTTATTTTCATTTGAATATGTTGGGGTGTTTTGATTTTTGTACTTCCCCCTTGTCTCACTGGTATGTGCACCCAGGAATCACTCACTTTGCATTTGGAAATGAGAGAGACAGTAGTTTGAGAAGAAGATGTAAACTGATGCAGTCCTTGTTTTGTGTTATATCATTCTATAGTCTTTATGGTTTTCAAACAGTGATGTATAGAAAACTATAGAAGACAGTACATGGCGGTAATGCACCTTGATGTTGGTTGCCATCTGCCAATAAACTGAATAGAGAAGAAGAGAGAGTAGATTATGGTCAAAACAATCCAAAGAGAGCTGCAGTATCACAATGTTTTCTTGGTATGTGTCCTGAACTTGCTTCCTTTGGGTCTTTTTTCACTCCTTCCAAAATAACAGAGTAAAAATCAATCAATCAATCAATCAATCAAATTTTATTTGTATAGCCCATAGTCACAAATCACAATTTGTCTCATAGGGCTCTAACAAGGTGTGACATCCTCTTCCCTTAAGGAAGGAAAAACTACAAAAAAAAATTTTAACAGGGGAAAAAGAACGTAGAAACCTCAGAGAGAGCCACATGTGGGGATCCCTCTCCCAGGACGGACAGAAGTGCAATAGATGCCATGTGTAATGGAGAATGTCAGAAAAGTATTTACAGCATTGGTTAGAATGAACAGTTTGTAGCATTATGGAAGGTAAATGAATTGAGGAATTATGGTCAATAATGGTAAAGTATCTGAGTAGAAATATTGTATATCAAGTAGTCTTGTTGTAAGTCCTAGTCCACGATCAGGATACACCATCACGATTGGATGCCATCATAGTCCACAATCCATCATCATGATCTACTGCTGCCACCAGGTTCCACCATCAGCTGCCACCTCAATCATGGTCCACCACTACAATCAGATGCCAGCACGATACAGAATCCGCTATTACGATCACGATCTCTGAGTCACTATCCATCATCATAATCCTCAATGTGGCCGAACTGGATCTGCGAACGAAAAGGCATAGAGACTGGGAAAAATGGAGAACAAATGCAAGGGAAGCACAGATACATTGCAAGAGAAAGGACAACAGGCCCTTCAGGCAGATGCTGCCACAGAGGTGTGCCAGTTCACACTTAAAAAGAACAAGTTCAAAGCAACAAAGCACAAACAATACTGTGCTGCCGAATGTGCTAAACTTACTGACATGTTTGCTGCAGCAGGAACATTTTCAGTGCCCGTGGCTGACGATGGTGGTGACGGCCATGGTGAGGAGGAAAGGGAGAAAGACGAGGAAGGGAGGGTAGAAGATGAGGGGGGGAGTGTAGAACTTGCTGTAAGCAGATGTTATGGGCTAGCAACAACACATCATGAGATATCAGAGGCATCCTTTTTGATTTGGTGGGTTTACAGTTTATACAGTGGTACTATTATCTGGAAGACATTAATCATCTGATCAATAATTTATCATATACTCTCTTACATACACAGGATGCCCTCGCTTGTCTTTTAAGGATTCATCCATTTTGCAGGAGTTGTCCCCCTCATTATCATTGCAAAGATTAATCAATCAATCAAATTTGATTTATTATTACTTAACCATTAACAAGAGTAAGGAAAAACTACCACTCTTGTTATTATTATTAGTCATAATTCTATGACATTAATATTAACTTCTATATTATTGTAGGATTGTTATAACCCACCACTATATATATTACCACCACTGCTACTGTAATCATTTTGTCATTCATTGTAATTGTACAATATGTTTATGTTGCTTTGTTCTGTACACATGACATCCATTGCACATCTGTCTGTCCTGGGAGAGGGATCCCTCCTCTGTGGCTCTCCCTGAGGTTTCTTCCACTTTCTTTTCCCTGTAAAAGGGTTTTTTTGTGGGCAAGTTTTTCTTCACTTGAACCGAGGGTCTAAGGACAGAGGGTGTCACTCTCTGTACAGATTGTAAAGCCCTCTGAGGCAAAATGTGTTTTGTGAATTTGGGCTATACAAATAAGATTTGATTTGATGTGAGGGATCCCTCTCCCAGGATGGACAGAAGTGCCGTAGTAGTAACTGAATGCATCAACAAAATAACAGTATTTACAACATTGTTTGATGAAGGGAGCAACAACCATAACTTATTGGCACAGACACACACACAGAGGAGGGAGGGGCACCCACAGAGCAGACCATGACAGTTCGCAGGCAACTACTCTCATAGAGACCATTCTTTTCTCGGAGTTAAGGCTAATGCTGCAGAGATTAGCACAAGACAATCAGTGCCTTAGTTAATAATTAAATACTTCTGCATACTGTTGAACTGTAGATTAGTAACAAAATAATTCACTTCAGCTTTCTAATAAAATGTGTATATCTATGCAGTAGAAGGGTAAAAAATGTAAATAATATTAATGCAATATGGGAAACGATAAAAGGGACTGCGCTTTGGGTATGATTTCAAATGCTAGTGGCAGAGCAAGGGTCTATATACCGCTCGTAGAAGTAAAAAGAAGTTAGTAGTCAATCTGCTTAAAATCCAATGTTTCTCTTCAGAGTGAGAGAACTTATTGTTGGATTGCAGTCAAGCACTTAATCATTCAGTGTATTCATTTCTTTCTTAATGAATTGAGTCTAGTGATTGAGGACACTAAAAATAATTGATCCTAAACCAATTATATTTGCGCATGGATAGTGAACAAAATTTAATTGGTGTGAAGTTTACAATCTCAACCCTCCATTTATATTATGTTTTCTAAATGTAAATCCATCTTACACCATAACAGATTTCAGTAAGAAATGATGAGATACATAAAATGTACATGCATATTTTGTTTGGATGATTTCTTAGCATGTGCTGCGTTATTTCAGGCTGAGACCCGAGCTGAGTTTGCTGAGAGATCTGTGGCCAAGCTGGAGAAGACTATTGATGATTTGGAAGGTACAGCATTGATTTGGCTAGTTGTGTACCTATACATGACATAATCTATAGCAACACAAATAATATATCAGAATGGTAGATTTGCTGTAGATTGAAGAAGAGTGCTGTTGAAGAAAATGCTAAATGAAAAACACACTGTTCAATGGCAGTTTAGTATAATTCCTTTTTGCTAGTGAATGTAAATTAATTCACCTGACTTTGTTGTCACATAGAAAATTATAATTATGGTAATAATATAATGTGATGCAGTGCTTAGGATTGTTGCTGCACAGCAGTTTTTCTCCTACTTCCTCCCACTGTCCAAAAACATGCAGACTGTGGTAGGTTATCTGGAGACTCTTAATTGTCTGTAGGTGTAGGCGTGAGTGTGAATGGTATTTTGTCTCTATATGTTAGCATTGTGATACACAAATGTCCAGGGTGTACCCCACCTTTCCCAATGTCAGCTGGGATTTGCAGGTCCTGCTGCAACCCTCAAAATATAATTGATGATTGGATGATATGGATAATTAAGTAATTGGATGGATGGATAGATGGATTGATGACATTGATAGTTTTCATACCTTCCCTTGGTCTCTGTGTGAATGAACAGATGAGCTTTATGCGCAGAAGCTAAAGTACAAAGCCATCAGTGAGGAACTGGACCACGCCCTCAATGACATGACCTCTATGTAAGTAATGATTAAGTATATGTCATTTGTAAGTGATTAGCAGGCCTATTGGGCCATACATCACAATACCAACATTGTATGCACATTTGAAGATGAACTTAAACAAAGGTTAAAGATCTCTCTGGTTATACAGTAAGTTGTAGAAAGGCTGTTTCATCTCTTCAGCTCTGACAACAGCCAGCAACACTGGCTGTAGGTGCCTGTCGTCAACTCAGACACCAACTGATGTCAAAGGGTGTGCCAGTACACACCCTCAGAAAGAAAAAAAAAAGTCAAGTTCATTGACTGGACTATATTGAACTGCTGTATCTTAAAAGCTAGAGTAAAACGGGGCTGATGCATCTGATCTGCTGTGTAAAGAAAAGAATAATCAGGAAAACAAATAAAAATTCTGTAGTATATAAAATACCTATTCAAATGCATTTTCAACCAAATCAGAACATCCAGTGAATTTGAGGCAGAAGGGCTGATCATAAGTGTCCTTGTGCTGTTATGGTGTGATGTAATGGTGTGATGAGTCATGATTAGTTAAGACAGAATCCTGAACGTAACCTTTTCTTTCTTGTGTTTCCAGCTAAATGTCCTGACGCTCAACCATTCTGCCATGTTTTTCTCCAAGACTCATCCTTTACTGCTGAATGCCATCTCTTGGCTCAATTTCGTTGTCAGTCTGCACCGTCCGCCCACCTCTGCCTTTTTTTGTCTCATTTATCTTCTGTTTAACCTCAACTGTTATGTGTGCCTGTTATAATGTTTAAACTAGTCTCTCAATGTCTCTGCTGACCTTGCTCCTTCTCTGATCAACTAAATGCTGTTATTCAGTGTATTTCTCTTCACTGTTCTGTACCAGTATTAAACAACAGAGAGAAGACATGTTTCAGTTAATGAAGTCCATGGCTGTTTAG